TGCGAGTGCCATGCTTCTTGCAGTAGGCGTGAGATTCGGTCGTCCGACTGGCCCCGTATGTACATATTTAAGCATAAACGACTCTCCTCTATGAGCCTGTACAGAGACACCAGTTGTTTATATATCGCTCTTTGCGGTGTAGGGATGTGGTTGCTCGGTGTGCTATAGTGGGTTTTCGTCTTCTTTGGTGGTCAAGATGCAGATGCAATTATGTCACCGGATAATGGCTGTGGAAGCCCAAGAGCTCTGATATGCTCCTAGGCTCTGGTTTAACCTCGGCATGGAAGTCACCACTGCGTATGTGCCCTTGAATAATGTCAATGAAGAAGAGGTGCTGTTCGTTTACGGTTTTCCCCGCAAAGAAGCAAGTGTCTAAGGACCACTGGACCGCTTTCTGTAATCCGTGTCTCTGAGGCACATCCGATTTGCATTATCTATTTTTTGAGAATTAAAAAATTGGATGCCTTACTGGCACTTTTTGTCTCATGAGTGGGGGAGGGATATTTGTCATCATACTTGATCGCAATGTTTGATGTTTCGGGCTTAAATTGCTGCTCTCTTCTCATTCGTTTGTTTTGGCTTATTTCCACTGCATAAAGTGGCTTCATGCTAGTGATATTATTAACAACCCTTGTTCCCTTCGGAGAAATTATCTCTATCCGAACTGTCTTTTACTAGGCTCGCAGCAACTGGTTTTCAGCGACCGTTATTTAGTTTTGTTACGATTATTTCAGTCATTCACATTTTGCTCCCTCTAAGGATGTTGATGGCGTATTCACGTCTTTTCAACGTCGCTTCCTGTTGTATTTCTTTGCATACGCAGCTTCTTATTTTGGCACTTAAAATATCCTCCTTGCCAAAACAGATGCCAGTTAAGTACATCAATCAAATTGTTACTTAAACTGTTAATTACGCATACTTTTCCATAGGCAGAGGAAAAAGAGGGATGCATTCTCAAGGTTTGATCATTTTATGAGGGCGTAATTATCACGAGACTAATTAAAGCACCTTGTTACTACAGCGGTCTATTTTGCTTTCTATGTACTTCCATATCCATCGCTGGGAGGAGGAATAGTCATCATACTTCTAAATGCAATCTTTCCAAGCCGCTGTGCAGTGCTTGCGTGCATTAAAAAATGGTCCTAGGGTCTGTTTCCGCTCCAGGAACTAGGCTCCTTCTTCCCTTTCGGTCCAGCTGCTTACCCATCCTCTTTTCCGGTTTGCAGACAGGCACCATGCACACCTTGCTTGAAATATGGTTCCCTTTAAAGGAAACTGTCGATGCCTTCAGCGCGGACTCTGAAAGAGAACTGTTGGGCAATAAACCCCTATGAATTGTTCTCACGTCTCTATTTTAGAGCCTGTTGCGCCAGTCATCCTCGAACCAGTTCAGTATTCTGTCTCACGTTCGGAGCCAAATTGCACTGAAATGCGTGTGGAGTATGACGCCTTGCCGAAACCGGAAGTCGATTGGATGAAGGATGGCCTTTTGCTCACACCATCCTCGAAAATTCAGGTATCGTTTTATGTGCCCTGGCCTTTTATGCCTGCTACATACAGCATGCTTTTTTCTTTGCTTAGCCATTCGCAGTATTTCTGCCAGTTTTCAACCTCTGAGTCTCCTTTTGAAGTTGATTTTGTCTGGGTCTCAGTGAGCTGACCTGAAACGATACGGAAGGGGCTGTAACGTTAGCAATAAACG